CATTTACGTTCTGGGGCTAGATGGAGAGTTGGCTCAGCAGTTAAGATCCAGGTTTGATTCCCAGCGCCCACACAGTAGCTAACAACCACTAGTAACTCCAGTTCCAGCGGATTCAACACCCTCTCCTGGCTTCCATAGGCACTGCGCACGCGTACACAGTCCACCTACATATACCCAAGCATGCACACATACATTTTTATAAAACAAATGCATACTTTAAAAGATCTTAAGCTTCAAGACTTAGCTTTGGTGGTTTTATTTTCCCAAGTTGGAGCCATGTGAATCACGTGGTGGGGTCAGTGAGATGGCTCAGCAGCAGGTTGCAGGTTACGGCGCCTGCGGCCACTACTAATCCTGGCAACTTGAGTTTGATCCCTGAGACCCACATATAGGAGTGAACCGATCCCCACAAGTGGTCCTCTGACTTACACACGCATGCCACCAATTTAGTGCATGTGTATGCAGACACATTAAATAAATGAAGGTTACAAAGGAAAAGAAGTATGGAGTAGGATAAATGCAGTCTGTTCATACAGCCTCGGCCACGAGCTGTAACAGACCAGGGTCGAGTCTGTGTCACGGACAACATTAATAGGAAGCACAGCCTGTATCAGGGTTAACTCTTCATGGCTTCACCCATTACTTTTGTTTATTCTCCCTAGGAGTGTTACAACACTTTAAATGTTCTAGGATGGAGAACTCTGCCTGTTCGTTTGGCAACGTGCAGAAAACCGTCCTACGGACAGGAAGAACACTGCCGCGCCCGCCAGCTGGGAGGAAAATGAGAAGGCAGGGCACACTTCAAACACAAAAGCCTCACGCATCCCATCCAGCACCGACTGTGGTGGTTTAAAGACCAAACGTGCCCCACAGGCTCCGGCATTTGAACACCAGTGGGTTGGCGGAGCCGCTTGGGGAAATCTAGGGGGCGTGGCCTCGCTGGAGGAAGTACGTCCTTGGAGGTGGGCTTTGAGGTTTCAAAGCCCCTGAGCCACTTCCGGCGCTCCTGCTCTCTTTGCTTCCATGCTAGCACTTGGGCTGGGAGCTCTGGGCTCCCCGCCGTGCCAGAGTCCAACCCTCTGGAACTGGAAGTCTAAACCAAACTCTTGTGTAAGTTTGCTCGGTCATGCTGTTTCGTCACAGCAGCATTCAAGTAAGGCACCCAGACTCACCTCCTCGGGTTCTATCAGCTTAAATTCCATGCCTCGGCCAGTCCAGGCGATGAAGTGGGCATTGGCTGGGTCATCAAGAAGGGTGACGAGGAACTGCCACAGCTGCAGGGAGCCTCGTCTCTGGTATGGGGGCCCCTCTCGGTAAAGGGTGGGCTCCTGCTTGACCTTGCCTGCGTGGGACAGGGGTACAGAGGTTATAATCCCTGAGGTTGGAGTTTCTCCGGGATTGGCACAAAAAACAGTGGTTGCTGATGATTTATAGTCACTGAACGGGCTGGGATTGACATGTCAACCCTCTCACTCAGCTTCAGGTCTCGGACGGGCACCTCACCTTCCAGTCTTTCGGGCACCACGCAGGTGTCATCGAAGTATAGCCTGGGATCCTTTTCATACGGAAATCCTGGAAGAGTCGAAGGAGAAAGACCACACCGCTTAACAGTCTGCGCTGTACTAAGAACTATGGAGTTAGGACTAAAGGGGCATTCTTTACCATAAATTAACAACAACTTTACTATTGTGTGTGCATGATGCGTGTGGGGCACACACAACACACGTGGAGGTCAGAGGTGGCTCTCTGGGGTCAGTTCCCCTCTCCTACCTTTCACAAGGGCTCTGGGGACCAAACTCAGGTTGTCAGGGTTTCTCGGTAAGCGCTTTTGCCGGTGGAACCCTCTCACTGGCCCATTACCTTTCTCTGGTTCCTAAGTCCTACTGTCGTACCCACGCCAGACTGAATCTTCAGAGACTTCCAAAGGACTCAAGCACTCAAGTTGTGATGTCACTACCTCGGCTGAATCAATCCATGCTATCAGGGCTCGGGCTGCAGGAAGCGCCGCTGAGTCACGAAGGTTCCCTCAAATCTTAGGAAGTTTGCAGGGCCAAACTAACCTGTTTATTCTGGTCGGCCTAAGTAGCTAGCTTTGTTTCATGTGTATAATGAGTTGTCATTTTCTTTCAGCTAATAGTAACTCAGCCTTCCCAGCGGACTTGTCCAAGCTATCCACACACCTCACGTGCTATAGCCAAGTATACAGAGAAGGGAAAGAAGATGCAGGCCCACAGGAGACTGGGAAGAGCGGCACACTGAAACAAGTTGGAGCACTGTCCCCAGACACAGTGCAAGGTTTTAAAGCCTTCCTCCTGGTAGACTTGTCATAGAAGGGGAGTCAAGAAATGGGAACCGAATGGTCTGAAGACAAACATCAAGGATGAAATAGCTGAGGCACAAAGCAGAGAGGACACGGGAAAAGACGGCCAGATGTTCTCCACATGCTGGCCTGCGTGCAGTCCTGACCTCAACAAGATCTGTGGTTCAAACCCAAGGCGGCTAACAACTCCCTGATGGGGACCCTGTGCTCTGTACCTCACAGGTATTACACCTGGTACACAGTCCTTCATCCCCTGGCTCTTCTCTGGCTTTGTTCCTGGTTGATTCACCTGGCTGAAGACTACTAGTCTATGTGTGCTAGATCTGCAGAGGGGACAGACAGGGAACTCTCTGCGACATGAAAACCCCACAGGTCAAGGAGCCCGGATGTGATCCCTCCCCTGATATCCCTGGCTTCTTTGTAATCAGTTCAGGTGAAGGACTGTCTTGGCAGGCCTGGCACCCTCTTAAGATGCCAGGGCCTAGGAAAAAAAAAAACATGGTGCAACATGTGTTTGATGTTTAGGTCATTCACCTTTCTGTTTTTAGCCTCAGGCATGATTTTTTTTCTGTTATTTAAATCAACAACATCATATATGGAGAAATAGCTCAGTGGTTAAGAGCACTGACTGCCATTCTAGAGGACCCGGGTTTGATTCCTAGCACCGACATGGCGGCTCACAACTGTCTGTAACTCTAGTTCCAGAGGAATCCACTGACATCTTCTGGCTCTCCTTTCACTGAATGCACATGGTGTGTAGCCATACATGCAGGCAAAACACCCATATACACAATTTAAGAAATAAGTATATTTTATTGGCTTTTTTTTCCCTGATTGATTCAATTAAAATTCTAGGCCACATATTTTGCTCATGTGGGTAGGAGGTAAGAACGCAGCCATGGACTTTGTTCTTATGTGTTTACATCTCAACTTGAAGCAGGAAGCAGATGGTAAAAGAACAGGCAATAAATGATTAGTATAGCACTGGAATTAAAAAATGCGGGCTCTAGAATGAGACAGGTTGACCCCAATTAGCTGTGTGACTCTGAATACATGAGTTCCACTGTGTTCAAGTTTCCTCGCTGGTACTGCTATGAGGATTGAATAGTTAATGTGCTGTCTGTTCTACCAGCCACCGCTCTGTCTTTACAACAGAGTAAGTATTGTGACAAGCACTGTTAAGAAACTGTATGATGCTGTGTCAGGTGTGGTGGCTCATGCCTTCCACCCCAGCACTCTGAAGGCAGAGGCAGGTGAATTCCTTTGAGTTCCAGGCAGCCTGGACTACAGAGGGGTAACAGTGAGACTCTGCCTCAAAAACAAACAAGCATACAAACAACAACCAACCCTGAATGACAGTACGAGAACTGTCAGCTCGCCACCCCCTGCATGGAGCCCGATATTCTCAGGGATAAGGGTCCTGTCCTATGCATCTTAGTGTTCTCACAGCGCCTTGCCTACAGTTAAGTGTTCCATCAATTTTGAAGTACAAGATCTCCTGACAATTTAGGCAAAGAATGTTGACATACTTTCCTTTAAGGCATGGTCTCACGTAGCAAAGGTCTACTCTGAACTTGCCATGTAGCCGAGGATGCCCTCAGACTCCCGATCTTCCTGGAACCCTCACCTCCCAAGTGCCTAACACCTGGCAAACTGACTTTTATGACAAGCTGCTGTACTTCACATTATCAGCAAGACGTAATTCCTCATGCGTCATGCTTTTTCCCCTTTAGCTGCCAGGAGGTGATATATTTCCCACCTTCCCTATGTGTTTTGATATTCCAGTGCTGTTTAAATGGTCTCGTTATAAAATCATTGTAAGCAAACCGCTTGAAAGTTTACACATCTGTCAAACGTGCCGCGCTGTCCTCTAAGGGAAAAGATCACTCATCCACAACCCCGCAAGAATAAATTCTTGTTTTGGTTTTCAAAAGCTAATAAGGAACATCATTTGGGAACATTTTGTGGTTTCCAGTTGTTGCCACACAAGGCACTCTAAGACACCTGGAAGATGTTTCTGGTTTGAGTGATAAAGCCAGTTGAGTTTGCATCTGCAGTTCCTTCAGTTGTGGCCAGAACCACTCAAATAAAGGCACCGGAAGGAAGAACCTGCTTGACAGGCAGTGGAAATGAAAGGCTCAAAATATCACATGAGGATTCCAGGTGAGTACCCGAGGCAGGACAGCTATCTCAGCAATCAGAGATGCCAATCAGAAATGCTTGTTTCGATAACTGTTTCCTAGGCATCTGTGGTCAAGACTGTAAAGGAAGGATAGAAAAAAATCGGGCCCAGATAATTTAGAGCAGTTGAACACACTGGCTTTTTTTGAAATTTACTTTTTCCAGTGTGTGCGGTCAATTGGGCAAAGGAATAGGGCCGGAGGGCGGAGGTGGCTTCACAAGATGGCTCTGTGTGTAGTAAGCAACCCAAAATCTTACTAAAAATATTTCCCTTAAGAGCATGCTCTTTGCTAAATGTTGTAATTATACAAAATGTTTGCCTCCCTCTCTTCCCTGTTCCTTCCAACATGTGCTTGCTGCAGACATCAACTGCCTCTGTAGAAACATCGAGGAGTCTGGAAGCAGCCCTGCACAGCTGTGTCTGCACAGCCAGCAGTGGTCCAGTAGACAGACAGCCGGCCTGCTCAAGTCTGGACATTCACTGAGATTATCACAGGGTGCACAGCAGGAGAGTAGCACTGGTCTTGCCTAGCCAAGGGGGGAGCCATCTAGCCAAGAAACCACTCTAGCCAACTAGTCACTTGCTTTTGTTTGTTTTTCCAGGCAGGATTTCTCTGTGTAGCCCTGGCTGTCCTGGAACATACTGTGTAGACCAGGCTGGCCTTGAACTCAGAGCTCCGCCTGCCTCTGCCTCCTGAGTACTGGGGTTAAAGGTGTGGGCCACCACCACTCAGCTGCAACTATAGTCACTTGTAAGGAACAACCAATGCTTCCTGAGTATCTAAAATGCTACAGAAAGAGGTTCACAGGCTCAGGTACGTGAGGCTGGAACTTGAGGGTCTCACCACTTAGGGTAAAGCTTCATTCACATCAAAACTTCAATTTCAAAACCCCTTCAGGTGAGCCTAAGGTACAGCTGAGGCTGAGTGTGGTTTTCAAACTTGAAAAGAGAGACTTCTGGGCTCCGTGTTGGGACTTTTGGTTCAGTAGCTGTACTGGGTGGTTTTGTGTGTCAACTTGACGCAAGCTAGTCGTCAGAGGAAGGAGTCTCAGTCGAGGAAATGCCTCCGTAAGATCCCACTGTAAGGCAGTGATTAATGGAAGAGGGACCAACCCATGGTGGGTGGTGCCATTACTGGGCTGGTGGTCCTGGGTTCTGTAAGAAAGCAGGCTGAGCAAGCCATAGGAAGCAAGCTAGTAAGCAGCCCTCCTCCATGGCCTCTGCATCAGCTCTTGCCTCCAGGATCTTGCCCTGTTGGAATTCCTGTCTTGAATTCCTCCAGTGATGAAGAGTGATGTAAAAGTGTAAGCCAAATGAACCCTTTCCTCCCCAACTTGCTTTTTGGTCGTGGTGTTTTGCTGCAGCAATAGACACCTTAATTAAGACATCAGCTCTTGAGAATTTGTCGAACCAAGTTTCAAGAGAAGTTGGTGCCATCGGTTTGGGGGAGTCAGAGAGCTCTAATATATGTGGACAGATGTGTTTAACAGAAAATGAAACATACTTCCAGGGACCTACTCTACAGAAAAGTTCTTCCCTATCCCAGTGTTTGGAAACGAGGTCCTGACCTACCAAACTGCCTAGACGAGTAACTTCTAGCCCACTGCACACCTTCAAGGCCTCTCAGACCCCACAGGGCTCCTTCCCATCACATGGACTGACTGATCTGCCATGGTCATCCATTCACGCAGGAGCTGGGCATTCTGCAAATGCTCCCCGCGGCTCTGACAGCTCAATCACCCTCCTCCCACACTGTGCCCCACCTCTCCTCTGGATTCCCATCCAATTACTTCTTCAAACAAGTCCTTAAGACTTAAAAGTTGTCAACTGCACGCTGAAAACAGATAACAAAATGCTGTCCTTCAAGAAACCTGGCAGTAGGCACCCCCAAAATGTCCTATCCCTTCAACCCAGAAGGCTCAGGAATTTAGCTTCAAGAAGTAATCAAGGAAACATGGAAAGATCTAATTAAATGAATGACCATTTACAATTATTTTGTGAGGTATCTGTGAATATTTAAAATTTAGCAAGAAGATCCTAGCCAAATGTGTCCCCACACATTAAGTACTATGCAGCCATTACGGAAGAAGCTATTGAGAAATGGGGGATCTGGGTGATCACACTGGACAGACATGTGGAGAGATGAAGGCTGGTTTCTGGGCCCTTGGGGGCTTGTCTCAGAATTTTGGGTCTACCTTCCAATAGCAAATCCTCTGACCTCTTGGAGCCTCAATGGCTAATAACATCTATCTTACAGGAGGGCAGGATGATTAAACACCTTGAACATGAGTCAAGAGCTTAGGACAGGGTTTGGAGCATAGTAAACATGCAGTGAATTAATGACTCCTGCTGAAAGACTGGACGAAAGGAATCCTGGTATGATCTGTACAAATTCTGTACAGATGTATGCACAGACAAGCAAGTTCGCGACTCCCTTTGGACAGTGAAATCTGATTTTTATATTGGTGTCTGTCTATAATCTCTAAGCTGTGTGTAATCCGTATTTATTGCTTACAGAAAGACGAAGCTAGGAAGGTTTGCACTGTGAACAAAAAGTAGCACAAAAGCAAAGAAAGGTTCTCTAGGATTCCAGCTCCATTCTGACCATTTCCTTGAGACTACACGCTAGAGAACATCTTTGAATCTTTTTAAGAAATCTATTCATTACGTTAGAGGGCATACAGTGAGCTGCATTGAAGGTCAGAGGACAATCTGTAGGAGTCACTTCTTCCACCACGTGGATCCTGATGATCAAACTCATGTCGGAAGGATTGGCAGCATCTCTAACCTCTGAGCCATATCACTAACCCTTACTCTGTTTTAGCCAAGGATGGCCTTGAACTTCTGATCCTCCCGGGTGCTGAGATTATAGGCATGTGTGCCTCCGTGCCTGGTTATGTGCGGTGCTGAGAGCCTCACAGAGTTCCTTGATTGGGCAGGCAGGCACTCTACCAGCCAGGCATGTTGGTTGATTTAAATTACTATTAGTCCAGTTAGGGTAATGTCATGAAACATAAGGCCACAGGCCCAACTCTGCCCATCGCTCTTGCTCCTAATTCTAAGTATCTCAGCCATCTGATCAATTAGTCGATTCTAAAGGGACTGTGTGTGTGCATAAGAACCCAAATAGACAGCACACAGCACTCTTATTTTGTGTTTATGGTTGTATGAAACCGTGTGAGTACACATGGAGGTCAGAGGTCAGTATCAGGTATTTTCTTCTGTCTTCACCTTATTTTTTGAGACAAGGTCTCACACTCAAGTCAGAGTTCACCAACTGGCTAGACTGGCCACCTAGCAAGTCCCCAGATCTTTCTGTTTCCTCCCAGTGCTGGGTTCAGGCAGGTACTGCCATGCCTAGCTTTTTCCATGGGTCCTAGGAATCTCAAGTCAGAGGCTCATTCTTGGGCAGCAAGTACTTTATACACGGAGTCTTCCCTCTATCTCTAAACCTTTATGTACATTCATTCAATAAACATCAAGATATTATTAGTTCATGCTTGTGGGCAAATCATTTTTTTTTCTCATAGCCGTCCTTAGTTTATCCAACTGGAAAACATCTCTGCTGCGTCCTGTAGTGTTTTGCATGCAGTAAACCTCTGCATAGTCTTAGCAACCTTCCTATCTCCACCCCTTCCTTCTATCAGATGCCAGCTCTCTTCCTCTCCAGCTCTCTCAAGGCCAGTGAAGAAACTCCTGCGATTTCCCTCTCGTATTAAACTCAGCAATCGCCCATTACATAATCCTTACAACAATGCGCTACCCACCCAAACTAGGTGAAAACCAGAAACTCGTCCTAAAATTCTTTCCCAAGATGCCCCTGGACCCATGTAAAACTTCCTGACCTAAGCCCTGAGGGCCCAGTTTAGGCTGACACAGCTGGAAACATAGACACCAAGTTCCCCTTTTCTTCAGTGTCCTAGGGACTCAGCAAAGTTAGGGCCATTGCCATTTATAAACGATGACCGCCTCAGTGCTTAGCCGGCTGCTGGCTCAAAGCCTATGTGCAAAGGAACCGATGATTACTATTACTTAGCTCTTGTCCTCATGAGCTACGGAAGGCCGAACCACTGACCTCAAAGCTCAGTTTAGAAACAGGGTAATTTTAAGTTAAGCATATGCATTACCAAAAAACTCTTTAGAAAAAGAGGAAGAAGAGGAAGAGGAAATCCTCCAACTTCCACGTGTGCTGTGGTGAATACAAGCCCCTGCCCCCAAACAAACTAATTTTCAAAGGGCAAAAGTGAGCTCCTGGCCCCTTACCTTCATGGTTGCTGGAGAAATACCCTCCTCTCATGTAGGACTGGCAGTTAGGCACTTCTGAAAGGGAAGCAGAGATGCACGCATTCTTAGAGATGCACGCATTCTTACAGATGCACACATTCTTAGATGCACGCATTCTTACAGATGCACACATTCTTACAGATACACGCCTTCTTACAGATGCACACATTCCTAACCATTCCTGCAGAACAGCAGGGGAGATGCTGGGCAGTGACGCCCCTAAACCTCGCCCTCCAAGGTCATGGTGCTGCTTTGGTTTTTGACAACTTGACACCAGAGGTACTTGGGAAGGGGGACCCGCCACAGAGCAACTACCTCTATCAGATTGGCCTGTGGGACATTTTATTGATGAATGATTAATACGGGAGGGCCTGGCCCACTATGGGAAGTGTGTGTCTGAGGCAGATTGTGGAGGAAGTGTGTAAGAAAGCAAGTTAAACAAGCCATGGGGGGAGAATCACGCCGGTAAGCAGCGCTCCTCTGCAGTCTCTGCTGCAGTTCTTGCCTTGGCACCCTCAATGATGATGACTGCAATCCCTCAGCCAAATACCCGACCCTCAACCCCAACCCTGCGCCTGCACCACCAAGGTGCTTTTGATGAGTGTTTTATTACAGCCACTAAGAATCAACCTACGGCAAAAGGCCGTCTTTGGGGCCTTGTTCTGTGGATGGGTACCACGCTAATAAACAATATGGTAAACACTAGACCCCACCACCTGCAAGCAAGACCCTTCTTATCCACAGTCACAGGAGAAAGAAGAGTCCTGCTTCTTCGTCTCGATCTCACTCATTTTAGAAAGCAGTTAACAATGCGTCTGGCGGGACAGCTAGCGGTAACACGAGAAACTGGCTTTCAAAAGGGCTTTGGGGTGGACCGGGAGGTGGGGAGACGATCGCTTTAGATCTTTCCCAGTCTGCTCCTTTGGCCACTGATGGTCACATCCAATTCTGTTGCCAGAGATGAGGGTATTTAAGGCCGAAGGGATTAGGGGTACTAAAGCTCCAAAGCCAGGATGAGAACTGGCAGGGTGGGTACTGCAGTCTGGCAGGCATGTTTTCTCCATGTTGGATCTGTTCTGCTGGAACTGAACCACACTCTAGCCATCTCCTCCTCAGGTCCCAGGAGGAGAGAGTGAACTGGGTGTACCCCGGGGTCCGGCTTCTGGTGGGAGCATTTCTGGAGTGCCTTTCTGCAAGGGAATGGATGACCAAAGGTGGCTGAGATAGATTACAATGTCAATGCTGGGGGGCTGGAGAGACGGCCCAGTGGTTAAGAGCACACACTGTTCTTCCAGAGGACCCGAGTTTCAATTCCCAACACCCGCATCAGGCTCACAACCCCCTGTAACTC